TGTGGGCAATACGTGGCAGCCAATTGAACATAAGAACATAAGGATTCGCTGGCAAAAGAAGACCAACGTCCATCCAGTTTCCCTTCCACCATCTGGCAGTTGCTTAACATGTCGTGTCCCAAACTAAACGCTGTATCCCCGAGATATTATTTCCTAACATAAATCTCTCTAATTTGTTCTTGAAAGAATCAACACTTGCTGCTTCCACTGTCTCCCTAGGGAGCCTGTTCCATATGTTTACTACTCGCTCACTGAAGTAGTGTTTCCGCAGATTTGTTCTGAATTTTCCCCCCTTCAATCACACACAGTGTCCTCTGGTTCTATTGTTCAGTATAAGATAAAACAACTTATCATGGGATACATTATTGTGGAGTCCTGTAGCTCAGTGGTTAGAGCACTCGCTTTACAAGTGAGAGACCTGAGTTCAATGCCCGGCAGAGGGTGAAACCTTGGGCAAGTTTCCTTACTCCACACAGAGCCTAATAATAATCCCTCCAAAACAAAAAATAATAATAAATTGGTCATTTTCAATCCACGACTGTTTGTGGGACATTGCTGTGCGCAATTGGCTGCCGCGTTCGCTCACAAACATACAGTCAATTCACTTTACAGTATATTCTGGAAGCGCTTTGGGACGTCTAGAAGATGTGAAAAGCGCTATATCAAATGCAAGGATGATGATGATGATTATTATTATTATTATTATTATATAAGAAATTGCACACAGCAGTGTCCCACAAACAGTTGTTGATGCTCCAGTGCAGTACTAGCGGAAGGTGAGGTGGGGTTGTGGGGATGGAGGGTAGGGAAAAGGAGAAGTTCTGTTCCATTGTTAAAAGCATCGTCCTTTGGATGAGATATTAAACCAAGGTTTGCCTATTCTTAAGACGGATGTTAAAAGATTTCACAACACTATTCCGAAAGCCGAAGGGAGTTTCCCCTGTGACCTGCCCAGCAATCCTCCAGATATTAATCAGAACAATAATCCTTGCATTTAGTATAGCAACTTTCACAATGAGAGGACATCCCAAAGTGCTTCAAAGGATTTACTGTGAAAAGGAATGAATATTTGTAGGTAAATACGGCAGCAAAATTGTGCACAGCCATGTCCCACAAACAGCCATGGAACGACTGAACAATTTTATCTGGGGGATTGTTGGCCAGGACACCGGAAGAGAAAAACGCCCTTCTCTTTTTGAATATCACCGTGGCATCTTTAACATCCACATCCAACAACAACAACAACAACAACAAGATTCCATTTATAGAGCGCCTTTCACGTCGGGAGGACATCCCAAGGCGCTGGACAGTTGGGTCCACCTAAACATGCAGATGGGACCTTGGTTTAACGTCTCATCAAAAGGACGGCACATTCAACAATGTAACAAACCCTCAGCACTGCTTCGGAGTGTCAGCTTAGACTATATGATTCCAAGGAGTCCTGACATGGGGCTTGAACCCACAACCTTCTGACTCAGAGGCGAGAGACTTACCACTGTGCCAAGCTGACACACAATATATAAATTGAGCATCAATTTCATGGCTGATTGTGGGACCTTAATGTGCTTAAAAACTGGCTATCGCATTTGCCTACAAATAGCCACTGCTTTCGATAATCCCTGTCCACTGGTACCATTCTCACCCCTTTAAAAACAGACGTCATCACTCCTATCCTTAAAAACCCTCCCTGGACCCATTCCTGCTCTCAAACTACTGACCCATCATCAACCTTTACAAGGTCCTGGAACGAGTCGAAGCTTCCCAGCTTTGCTCCTTCCTCTCCCACCACTCCATTCAGAAACTCGCCCAATCGGGTTTCTGTGCCGCCCACAGCACAGTAACATCTTTGATCAAAATGACAAATGACATTCTGTCCATCTGTAACCAGGGCTCCCTCTACCTCCTGGTGCTCTTTGACCACTCTGCTGCCTTCGATACTTGACCACTCCATCCTCACCCACTGCCTATCCTCTCACTTCAACCTTCATGGTTTTGTCCTTGAATGGTTCAGGTCGTATCTCTCACATCATCCCAATTTCATCTCTACAAAGAGATGTTTCTCCTCTGGCCCCCATACCATCTCATGCAGTGTTCCTCAGGGCTCTGTCCTTCAATATCTTTTTGCTCCCACTTGGTGACATCATTTGCAGATATGGGGTCAACTTCCACATGAGTGCGGATGGCACCCAACTCTCCCTCTCTGCCTCTGTCAGACATCAAGTCCTGGATGAGAGCTGACTTTCTTCAGTTGAACGTCAACAAGACCAAGGCCCTCCTTATTGGCTCCCGTCAACGCCTCCACACCTCACGTGCGGACAGCATCACCATCCATGTTTGCACACTCCACCAGTGTGGAATCTTGGCATCTTGTTTGACCCTCAACTACCCTTTCTATCCCACATCCATGCCATGACCCGCTCTGCCTTCCCCACCTCCACAACATTGCAATCTCTGGAACTCCATCCTGCAGTCCCTCGGCCTCATCCCTTCCCTTGCCTCCTTCAAGATCCATCCTCTTGGACCATGCTTTTGATCAACCTCCTTCCCCCACTGCCCTCCAATCCCAACCCACAGCTTGAGTCTGAAACACTGACTGAACAGCACCTTGGGATGTCCTCCCGATGTGAAAGGCGCTATACGCATGTATTTTGTTGTTGGTTGGTGGTGTAATTAATGTGGGAAAAATTGGAGTCATTTTAGCATGGAGGTGCTATATTAAATGCAAGGATTATTATTATTGTTCAGCACATCCAATGCTTTGGGAATTAAATACTTAAATATTTCCTAGATGTTTTAACACTATAACAGCAATGCACTTGCCTCGCAAGCAAGACGACCTGGGCTTGATTTACGATCACGATGAAACCTTAGGCAAGTTTCCTTACTCCACACGCCTCTGTTTACCTAGCAGTAAGTAAGAAACTGGCTGTTGGATTGCGTTCTGAGGAGTAATAATCCCTTAAAAAAATGTGGTCACTCAATCTACGACTGTTTATAGAACACTGAAGTGCATAATTGGTTGTCCCAGAGTGCTTTAGACAGGGTGGGAAGTCTCACAATGATAAGTCAACAATGTTGATCTGAACATTGCTCTTTTCAATCAGGTTCTGATGTTATAATTCTTCCTGAAGAAAAAAGAACTAGAATCTAGATCCCTCAGCGTGCACTGATCTGCATGCCTTACTGTCTGTCTATATCGCTACCCATCTGCCCACCTTACTGTCTGTCTGAATGACTGTCTTCCACTCTGGGACACTACCCTGCTTGAGGGGTACTATATAAATGCAAGTTATTGTTGTTGTCTCTCAGGTGACTACATTACACATGTTGCACTTCACCATGCTTCCCTGTCTGACAAACCAGTGCTAAGATTTTCAATCTTGCTTACAATCATGTTCACACATTTCATGCTAAGCTGTGTTGCTCACCAGCTCAGCATGAAATTCATAGGCAATTTCTGTTCCCTTCTGTCGACCTAATGAAAACACAAACCCTTGCTCACATGTTGCTGCTATAGAATCATAGAATCATAGAATTGTACAGAACAGAAGGAGGCTATTCGGCCCATCGTGTCTTTGAAAAGAGCCTGCCTGTCGGTCTATATCCCTGCCTGCCTATTTGTCTGTGTGTCTGTATCTGTATGTCTTTGTCTGTTTCCATGCTTGTATGTAACTGTAGGTGTGTGTGTGCCTGTATTGCCTCCTGCCTATCTTCCCACTTCTTTCCTTTCTCCTTCAGCCTTTACAGCAGGTACGTTTTAAATCAATTTCTAGAGAGTATTGATCTATATTACACACACTCACAGATGTACACTGTGCCTCTGTGTGGCATTCACCCTCCACACAGATCCAATGCTTACACGCAGATCCTCTCTTTTCATAGAATTTTAGAACCATAGAACTTCACAGAGCAGAAGAAAGCCATTTAGCCCATCAAATCTATACTAGCTCCCAGAGTAAGGTGTTTGTTCAATCCCACTGCCTTGCCCAGGACAGGCAGACAGGACCATGCTGAACATCTCATCCAAAGGATGGCACCTCTGACAATGCAGCGTATTGGTTAGAGCACTCATTTCAAAAGTTTGATTCCTGTGCAGGGCAAAACCTTAGACAAGTTTCCTTACTCTACATGTCTCTGTTTAACTAGATAAGTAGGAACTCAGTTGTCAGTCAATTGGCGGATCCCTTCTCCTGGGGTAATAATCCATTCAAAAATAGTAACAACAATAAGGCAGTGGGATTTTTTTTTAAATATATAAAACAACAGACAGGAAAAGGGCAGGGAGTGGGATTAAACTGATAGCCCATAAAGAGTGGAGAAACTGGTTCAATGAGCTGAATATCTGTACAACATTATGATTACAGAAGCATATAATTAAGCAGACCTACTTGGCACATGGAATTCCATGCCGGATAAAAGTCTCCCATGGTATTGTGGAGTAGCGTAGTGATTAGAGCACTCACCTCATGAGCAAAAAGTCTTGGGCAGGGCGAGACCTTAGGCTAGTTTCCTTACTCCATATGTTTTTGTTTACCTAGCAGTAATTAGGAACTCTGTTATATAATAATAATAATCCTTGCATTTGATATAGGACTTTTCACGTCTCCTAAACATCTCAAAGTGCTTCACAGAATATGTTGTAAAGTGAATTGACTGTACATTTGTGTGCAAAACGCGGTTGTTAAGGAATTGAATGATCACTTTCCTGGAGGTAGAGATGCCTCCAAAACCATAAATAAAAAAGTTTAAAAAAAAATCTGGTTACTCAATCCACGACTGTTTGTGGGACACTGCTGTGCACAAATGGCTGCTGGGTTTTGCCCACAAAATACACCGTCAATTAACTTTACAGTATATTCCATGAAGCACTTTGGGATGTCTCAATGGTGTGATGAGATGCTACTTCGAATGCAAGGATTATTATTATTACTTATTTTGGGAGGTCGGTGGTTTTATTTAAAGCCTTAAAGATGAGCCTTGGAGCACTCACTCTCTCTTAC